CCAAAAAAGCATCGAATCTGAGAATGTCTTGGTCTTGCCAAGCTTTGCTCAGGCTCGATGCAGCCTTCATGTGACCACGGTCAGTGTCGTCCATCCGTCGCGGGAACCGAAAGAACCGAACGTTCGGGAACCGAACGTTCGGGAACCGAACTCTCAGACGTACCGGGAACGGAGACCTGCTTCGGACACGTTCGCACTCAGCCATCGGCCATAGAGCGAACTATAGGAGTGGATCACGCCGATGAAGGTCGCGTTGTCGGACACCGTGGACTTCTGCAGATCCGAAAGTCCGGCGAAGCCGCGCGTTTGGAGGAGTGGTGCAGTTTGTTTTTTGCTTGGGGGGAGGTCCAAGCAGTCCGCCGTGCTTTGAGAACCGGAGAACTCAAACGACGCAGGCGCTGCCTGCATGTGACACAGGTACACCCGTGCTTCTAAATTGAGATTAGCTGGGCGCACCTTGGGTCTTCTCCAAGAGGTTCTCAGGTTGTGCCTTGGCACGCCGACGGCACGCCAGTCTGCACAGTGCAAAAGAAGCTTTTGTTAAGAAAAAGGTTCCTCTGATTCTCGACTGGAACTCTTTTCGTGCGTCTAAGTGTCCCGACGCCAGCTGCGGCGCGCATTGGCCCTCACAGATTCCCTGTGCCTCTCAGGATGGTGCAGAAGCTCGCAGATGCCATCCACTCCCTGGAAACCGTCCACGGCGACATCAAGACAAAGTATCAGGATGGCCTTATCGAAGGCTTCTCTACGAAGTGCTTCCCCCAGCAAAAACGTACATTCCTGATCCACCAACTTGTTTGATCCAAACCGTCTTACATACACCGGCCGAGGGTGGAAGCGGACTGCAAAGAAAAAGTCATCGAAGCTCAGAAGCTGTTCCTGTCTCAGCGTCTTACCATGTTCAAACCCAGGAGCTAAACTTGATCAAGCGGGCCAACCTGAAGAGTGAAGAGTGTGGAATTTGTTCCGAGGTGTTTGGATGCTGTTGATTTGGAGGGACGGGCCAGGCTGGCTACCCATACGGACTATGACTATGACTTTCTACTGTCTATAGTTCAGCTGCAGGAAACAAAAGAAAAACTATACTTTCCTCTTCTCCCTTCGAGCCATCTGCCTCTAGGCATCTTCTGGTGAGAGCCGCCAAGGTTGACAAGCCTGAAGGTAAGGGCCGCCGGGCCAAAGGCAAAGCCAAGGCTAAGACCAACAAGGCTTCTGAGGAGCCTGCTCCCAGAAGGCCGAGGAAGAAGTGACCTCCAACCCTTTTTGTTCGAGTTGCATGAATTCGGCTGTATGTCAGTTGCGGCAAAGCCTTTTTGTCACGAAAGCTAGCGCCAGCTAGCTGGAGTTGCCCTTGCTTTAGCAAGTGAGGGGCTGGAATCCTCGAGATCGCCGCATCATGTGAATATTTCATATGCACGGCCTCCCCCCCCCCCGGCGGGTTCAACTCCACCCTGGGACGTCTCAATCGAGTGTCCTTGCCCTCGTCCCCGTACAAAAGTACAGGCACCGTCTTGTCAAGGGCATCGTTATGCTCAGTGTACACTCTATGACCAGGTTGGTATCCACGGAATGCATGCCACCATGATTTGAGAAGATGTGCCTGGTCTTGCTGATCCTGCAGGCCTCCAAACAAAATTGCAGGGCGCTTGTCGAGCAAGAACTGAAATAAATCGATTGGGTCAATGTAGTGCGCTGTCAGGTCTTCAGCACCATGAATGTGGTACTGGGCTTTGGTAATGGGGATGTCCCAAAGCAAACTCAAGCGTCGTATCATTGAATGGACATCACGCGAAGCATTCTTTTTGAAAGACGCCTTTTGCACATCCATGTCTTTGGCTTTTGAGCCATGGGCCGCCTGTTGAGCCGCTCTGCGAGCGATCTCATCCACGTGGCTAGCAGGGACCTTGGAAGTCACAACCGCAGAACAGTTTTTTGTTGATTGGTTCCTGGGTCCCAAGCTCCATCCGCCACTGCTTCAGCGAAAGATTCTACCAATGGTCATGACGATAGCGGTGATCACCTGGCAAAGGTGGTGGTAGGAAACCTGACTTGAGTGACGTGTGTTGTGGCCTGGCTCTTCACTTGTGGCTGATACTGACACCACAAAGATTTCAAGCACGATCCCTTTTGTTGCCAAGATCGGTTCTTCGGTTGCAGTGGCAAGTTCCACTCGTCATGACAAATTCGAAAAGGGCGAGGTATGTGGCATGACGCAGCGTCTCCGCGCTTGCGGCGACGAGCGTCGAAGTCGGTGATACCGCCGACTGCTCGCCAGCTGCCACACCCAAAGCCTGCAAGCGCACGGGGAAACAATAAGAGGAAGACAGCTAGTTGGCTCGGTTTGATTGGGATACTTTAACTGAGCTCACCACGCAGCTCAAAACCGTTCAGGTGCGCAGCCGGGTTTGGCTTTGCAACCTGCCCGATAAAGAGCCCGTGCTCTTGAAGAGCAGTCTGCCTCGCCCCGACAAAATTGAGCTAAGCGATGCAAGCACTGCTTGCTTACAATCTCGCCAAGGCCCAGGCACGGCCAACAGATTCCCGGAGACGTGGGTGTGGCAGGGCCATAGCCACGTATCCGCGAGGCATCTTCACCTGGCCGGGCACGATTGCGCGCATTTGTTGGGGGGGAGGTTGTTTCATTGGTCACAGCAATTCCACGCCTCAAGTTCCGGCGCGAAAGCGCAAAGCAAAAGATATTGCAAAAAGCTTGAAAGATCACGCTACGAGAGTGTTCAACTTCCACATGAGACGACCGACGAAGAACAAAGGCGTTCTGCCAGATGCAATTACAACAAATTAAACAATAAAATCAAGAATTAGCTATTAAACAACACAGCCCCAAACCCTACAAGTCAAGCGCGTGAAAAGTTTGTGGGAAAGCCCTTGGAGCCGCTGCGCTCAGGCCGCCGAATATCTTTTCCGTCGAGTGTTCTTCAGCTCCGCCGGCGACGCTTTTGCGTCCGGGCTTCCGAACTGATAGAAGCTAGCTGCTCATGAGGCTCCAGGCCCTCGCCGTCCGCCCGGCGCCCGTTTTGCAATCGGGCGTGGATCACCCGCGTCACCTCTTCCATCGGCCCGTACGCAGAAAGCCACTCCCAGCGGCCACAAAAACCAGGCCTCAAGACAAGGCACGTCCCAAGGTCTAAAGGAAGCTCTCCTGGACGACCGGCTGGTTGTCCAAGACCTCAGGTTGCACTCTTCATAACCTTGATGAGGAGCTGTAACCTGGAAGAATAGTCGCGCAGTAGTAGGAAGTAGAAGTAGCTAGTATACGGTAGTAAACGCGACGGGTGAGCCCGAAACGCGACCGACCCGCCAAGGCACGCGTAGGAGGACAGACCTGGGCGAAAGGAAACGCAACGGAGCGACGAAAGCTAGGTAATTAGTGGGTATAGGAGGTAAAGTGTACTAGGTGGTGGGTAGTAGACGTAACGACAGTAGTAGCAATAGTAGTGGTAGTAGTAGTAGTCGTCGTCGTCGTCGTCGCCGTCGTCGTCGTCGTCATTGTTGTAGTAGTAGTAGTAGTAGTAGTAGTAGTAGTACGTGGTACACGCGGCATGGAGAGATATTTACATGAAGACTAGCGCTGCAGCCGTACTTACAAACTTAAACAAACAGTTTGCGTTTCTCCCCATCAGACGTGGGAAGTGGGACATACTGTTCTCGAGCAGGAATGCCACGACCTCGGATTTTTGGATTTCTGAATGGTGATTATCTTCAATCGTTTAAGGGCAAAATCTATTGCACAATTGGCAACTCTGTCCTGAAAGTTTGTTTCTACAACCATTTCCTAAAATTCATCCAAATCATTATATATTCTAAACCATTGTTCAATCGGGCAGTACACAAGCCTCTTGGAAGTAAATTATATATATGAATTGCTTTGGGGGTGGGAACAATGATAACAATGCAAAAGTTTGAGCCCTCAGAAGAAAATGTTGTATTGTATACTCTTAGTGCTAATGCTCTAGCGCTAGAGGTAGCACTAGCGCTAGTGCTACTCCTAACTACTCCTCTTCCTCCTCCAACCTACTAGCAACCTCCAACCTAAGAGCGATGGCCTCCAACCTAAGAGCCATGCCCCTTAAAGCTAAGAGCGATGGCCTCCAACCTAAGAGGGATGGTCTCCAACCTAAGAGCAATGACCTCCAACCTAAGAGCGATGGCCTCCAACCTAAGAGCGATGGCCTCCAACCTAAGAGCATTTGAGTGGTGGCGAAAACCTCTTGACCATGGCTTTGTATTCCTACAGCCCTTTCGCTTGCTCCTGTTCCTCCTCTTCCTCCTCTTCCTCCTCTTGCTCCTCTTCCTCCTCTTCCTCCTCTTCCTCCTCTTCCTCCTCTTCCTCCTCTTGCTCCTCTTCCTCCCTCCTCCTCTTCCTCCTCTTCCTTCCCTTCCTCCTCCTCCTCTTACTGCTACTGCTACTGCTACTCCAACCCCTACCCCTACCCCTACCCTTACTCCTACTCCTCCTACCCCTACTCCTCCTGCTCCTACTCCTCCTACTCCTACTCCTCCTCCTCCTATTGCTCCTCTCTTACTCCGAATCCTGCTCCTACTCCTACTCCTACTGCTGCTGCTACTACTGCTACTACTACTACTACTACGACTACGACTACGACTATGACTACTACTACTACTACTACTACTACTACTACTACTACTACTACTAC